CTGGAGGGTCACGTATGGGTCAGTTCAATCCGATGGTACACAGCTACAACAGCAACAGCATGCCCAAAGTATGTGAAAGTATCTGCTGGATTCAACCCATGTGTCTTTTGAGTTCAGCTTTTTAGTAGGAACCGATGGTAGCCTAGTGGGAAGAAGCTGCCCTGCAATCCTGGAGGCATGTGGTTTGAGGCCCCCAGTTGTTCTACGGGAGAAGGATGGACAATCTCCTCCCATGCGATTAACTGCCTCTGAAAACCTGCCAGAGTGTCAATCGGTTCCGACTCGATGATAACACAATAACAGCAATAGCGTCTTAACAGTAAGCCACCAAAGGTGTTAAACTCTAATTGTCCTTTTGTGACTGACTCATTTGAACTTTGCTGGCCTACTGGGTAAGTAGGTTGGTCTAGTGTTGCCAACCCAAAGGCAGCCAGCTTGAATCTACCAACTGCTCCGCAGAAGATGGACAATCTCCTCCAGTGTCATTCACAGCTTCTTAAAACCCAGTAGAGAGTCAGTTATGAGTCAGTCCTAACTGAATGGTGGGTGAATTTGGTTTATTTGACATGATGTCCTCTAGATGCATCCATGTGAGCAGTGTTTCTTGCACTCTTGTGTGGTGTTGCTAATTTGTGTTATCTGGGGTTTTTTCTAGGCATTGTTTTGTTAATTTAAAAAGAAAGTCTTTTCTTACTATTAACTTGTCTTAGTATAAAAAGACCTTTCCTTTCTTCTCTCTCTTCTTCCTTCCTTCCTTCTTTCCTTTTTTAAATTGATTTTTCATTCATTCATTTATGCAAATTTCCCTCTTCTCTCCCTGTACATACATACATACATGTCCTATGGCAACTCATTGGCTGCATTACTTACAATTTTCAATGTAATATATGTTAAATTCACTCCTACTGTATAAATAGATTCTTTATGTTGCTGAGTGGTATTTCATTACACAGATAAGGTTATGTATTTGTTCACCCATGTTCTTGTTGATAATATTATGATAATATTGATATAGCTTGCCTCCAGAAACTCTACGAACACGGAGAAACGATGAAAGTTATACAAGTGTTCAGGTCTTTCTTCCATAGGGTTGCTATGAGTCATCTATAATTTGACGGCACTTAATGACAACAACAACAGTTTCAATTTTGGGTTACTGTCTCCTAAACCACGGTTGTGTTGTTGATTGCCATCAGCACAACTCATAGTGATCTTATGAACAAAATTTCGAACTTTGTAAATAAACCAGTATAAAATTTTAAAGTCTATTAACTATCGTCATTGCTCAAAGTTCATAGAGTTTCCAGAGGCTTGTTATTTAGGAAACGGATGCCACTCTTGCTTTCAGTATTGCTAATGTAGTAATAAAGAAAATATTAGAGCATGGCTTATTCCAGTATATTCGATAAATTGGTGATTTTTAAAAATTTTATACACTGGGCCAATTGGCAGCATCAGTATGGATGGTGAAGAGATTGAGATAACTAACAGTTTTCGTTTACTTGGTTTCACAGTCAACACTTTTGATAACAGCAACCAGGAAATGAGGAGAAGAATTGCATTGAGAAAGTCAGCTGTGAGGGAACTCTCAAGAGTACTGAAGAGCAATGATGTCAGGCTGGAGACTAAGATGCACCTGATCCAGGCTATAGTCTTTGCAATTACGTGCTATGCATCGGAAAATTGGACAGTGAATAGGGATGATAGAAAGAGAATTGATGCCTTTGAGCTGTGGTGCTGGAGAAGAGTGTTGAATAAACCATGGACTGATAGGAGAACAAACAGGTTTGTCCTGGAGAGGGTGAAGCCAGAATGCTCACTGGAGTCAAGGATTCTGAAAGATTCATCTGACATACTTTGGGCATGTTGCAAGGAGGGACTGGCCCTTGGAAAGGGACATCATGTTTGGCAGAGTGTAGGGGCGGGGAAGGAGAGGAAGACCTTCAATGGGATGGATCGATTCCGTGAGTGGAGTGGTGGTGGGAATGAGTGTGTTTGAGATGGCAAGGTTGGCACAGGATAGAACGGCGTTTACGGCTCTTGCACACAGGGTCACTATGAATTGCAAGTGACTCGATGGCACATAACAACAACAATAAATAGCTTATAAGGCTTATATCTCAATATCAAGAAGACAAAAATCCTCATCAATCGGCAACATAATGATAAATGGAGAAAAGACTGAACAATTTAATCTTGCTGAGATCCACAATCAACACCGTTGGAACCAGCCATTAAGAGATCAGAAGACATGCTGCATTGGGAAAAATCTTCTGTCAAGGACACTTCCAGAGTATTAAGGAACCGTGATGACACTCTGAAGGCGACAGTACAACTGATTCATGGGATGGTCTTTTAAATTGCTATATATCTGAAAAGTAGTAATGACTAAGGATTATAGAAGGATGATTGATATTTTTGAGTTCTGGTGTTGGAGAAGAGTACTGAAAAGTTCACAGACTGCCAAAAGAACATAGATATGTCCTGGAGAAGATGTAACCATGATCTCTGGACACAAGGATGGTGAAGCTTCATCATACATATTCTGGCCATGTTATTAGAAGTGATCAAATTATTAAGGAGCAGTGATGTCAGTTTGAAAACTAAGGTATGCCTGATTCAGTCCATGGTCTTTTCAATCACTTGCTAGACATGTGGAAGCTGGACAATAAATAAAAATAACAGAAGAAGAATTGAGGCTTTTGCTGGAAAAGAGTGCTGAATAGTCCATGAGTTGCAAAAAGATACATCTTGGGGAAAGTACAACCAGAGTGTTCATTGGAGGCAAGGATGATCAAGCTTTTTCTCACACACTTTGAGCATCTTGTGAGGAGAGGCTCTTCCTTGGAAAGGGACATGATGCTTGGAAAGATGGAAGAGCAGTGAAAGAAAGACCCTCAATGTGACAGATTGACACAGTGAAGTGACCAATGGACTCAAGTATGTCAGAGAATGGCAACAGGATAGTACAGGGTTCAGATCTGTTGTTAATAGGGTCATTATGAGTGGTATTTGACTTGACAGAACCTAACCAGAACAACAACAACCTCCGAAGAGGCCTGACCTTGAAAAAGGATATCATGCTTGGAAAGATGGTGTGTCAGTCAAAGTGAGGAAGACCTTCATTCACTAAGCTGGATTGACAGTGACAGCAGCAATGGGCTCAAGTATATCACAGATTATGAGGATGACACAGGCTAGGGCAGGGTTCAGAGCCATTGTTCATGGGATCACTTTAAATTGTAATCAACTTAACAGAACCTAACAACAACAATTTAGACTTCACCAACATTGCAATTTAAAGTTTTCATCTTTTATCTTCTTTATTCATTGACCAACTTTCACATGAAAATGAAGTAATTAAAAATACCATGGATTTCTATTTTATGTACCTTAGTTTTTCAACTGACATCCTTGCTCATTAGTTTTTTAAAGAGGTCCTGGGTAGAGCAGTTTTGCCAGTGCAACACATCTAATTTAAATCTAATTCACCTGAGCCCCTTTCCAGAGACTCTAAGGAACTTAACTTATTCAAGGCAGTTCTAGTTGCATTGTCTGTAGGATTTGTGCTGTTCATCTGAAAGGTATACCTCTCTGGTAGTCTGAGCCAGTTCTGAGGGAGAAAGATGAGCAATCTCCTCCTGTGTGACATGCTTCTGCAAACCAGATAAACAACAGAGGAATATAGTATTAGAGGATGATCCCAGATTGGAAGCCACACAAAATGAGGAGAATCAGTTGCAAGCATCATTTAATAGTTAGAACTTGGAATGTATGAAGGTAAGCTAGAAGCTGTAAAAACAAAAAAATTACATGGAAGGCATGAAGATTGTAGGCATTAGTGAACTGAGATAGACTGGCATGAGTCACTTTGAATCTGATGATCATATGCTTTATTAGGCCAGAAATGAAAAACTGAGGATAAATGGAGTTACACTCATAGTTTAAAAGAAAACTATCATGTGCTGACCCCTGCCATTTCCCCAAATGCAGGAAACTTGACTGCATAATTTGTGGTAGTAGGGTACTGAGTGCACGCTGCCCCCTGATTTTTTTTTAAAGACAATTATCAACATCTATCCTAAGTACAATATTGTAAGTGATAGGACATTATCCATATGTATACAAAGTAGAACTGTTATTATGACATTACACCCTTGGTACCAGCAGTCAGATCAGGAAATGTATTGGCATTGAACAAGTTCACAGTCAGGGACCTCATCAAATTACTGAGGTGCACTGATATCAGTTTGAAGACTAAGGTGTGCCTGATACAGCATCACTTGATATGTATCTGAGAGCTAGACAACGAAAAAGGATGACAGAAGAATTGATGCCTTTGAGTTGTGATGTTGGAGGAGAGTACTAAATATCCGAAGGACTGCAAAATGAACACACAGATATGTCTTGGGGAAGGTGTAACCAGAGTGATGGTATAAGTTTATATCACATACTTTGGGCATATTGCAAGGAGAGCCTATTCCTTGGAAAGGTACATGATTCTTGGAAAGGTGGAAAGTGAAAAAGACCCTCTAGAGAAGGAATGACACAGTGATTGCAGCAATGGGCTCAAGACTGTCAGATGATGAGGATGGCACAGGAGAGGACAGGGTTCAGATGTGTTGTTCACAAGTCGTACTCGACTCGATGACACCTGGTGCTAAACAACAGTAATGAAAATAAGAGTGGCGCAAAAGGGCAATTACTAGTTTTTTACTTACTCAGTTACTCCAATCACTGTTTTTAAGACACCTCCAAGCTTCCTAAATACATTTTATTAAAGTGGTAATCACCAGGTAAGAATTTATCCTTTTTTTATGCCACTCATTTCACCAGTCAAACCCCCTCGATCCTTTCAACTCTTTAAAATATTCCGCCTTTCAACCCCAAACAAAATGAAGCGTCAAAATAAAGGAAGCCTGCAAAGTGACTGAGCGCATGCGCTGGGCGTCTACGGACCATTTGTGCTGCCCCTTAGTCCAGCTCCGGGTCGGGTGGAGGGGCTTGTTTCCGTGACGGACCGATTACGGGTGCCGGGCTGGCTCTTGCGGAAGTGCATGCGCCATTGGCAGGGCCGGGCTGCTGCTCTGTGCCCTTGTTGTAGAGGGCTACTCCCTGGGTCATTCCTGAAGCGGGAGCAGGGCTGAGGCTGACCATAGGGCTCCCACTTCGCCGTCCCGGCGCCTGTGTGACCTTCCCGCTGGTGGGATGTGGCGACTACGCGGAGCTGCCGTGGCCTGGTAAGTGTGGGCCCTGACCTGGCCCCGTTATTTCTGGGGACACTAGAAATGGGGGTTGCCCTTTCGTTACCTCTTGAATGTGCTGCAGACTGTTAGCTGAGGCGCGGGTAGTTTGAGGACTTCAGCATCTTTTTTGTATTCAGAGTAGCAAGGACTCTGACTTAGATTACCTGGGGTGCCGGCTGCACTGCCTGCTTTTCCTACCCCTTCCCCGTTCGTGGTTTCTGGGCACCTGTCTGACTTGGCCCGTTTTTAATTGTCCTTTGGTCCCTGCCCTTTTATCCTTCTGCCCTTGCTGTTATCTGATTGATTCTTTTTTCCGCCTTCTCACTTCTCAGTCTCTGGTTCTATCAACCTCTCTCAACTCTCGAT